TCTTCCTGAACTTGAACTGCTGACAGGGAAAACTGAAGCTGGGTTTTGCAGCAAGGCGCCCCAACTGTACAGCAGGGCGGTGGAGAGCTCTACCAGACGCCCACCTGCTGCCCACTGCCACGTCCTCTGCAGTAGCCACAAAGTCACGCCCCAAGCCACCATACTCACCAGCAGCGCCAGCCACAGCTTTCCTGCAGGAGTAAGGGTGAACTTAAACATACTTCACACAAGAGGTTGTCATTAAGCAGGTCAAAGAAACAGGTGCAGAAGAATTCTCACAGGCTTGTACATGGATTGTCTCTTCTATTCGTATACGATGTAGTGAGGCGAAAGTAAAAAACTTATCTTTCTAATTAGTTTTTTACTAAAACAATTCCTCTCCAACCAAGATAGCAGCCTACCAGCTTTTTTATCCTTTCCATGAGTTCAATACATCAACTCCTTTCTTCGATATCACACGTTTATCTGTGCGTAATATTCACACTCCTTCCGAGGCGGGGTCTTTGTGGACAGCCAGGGTAGATGGGACTAAACTTGACATAGCGATGTTGATACCCGAGACGTGCGTCCTTAACAATTTCGTTACATTTTCTTAATGGGACATCACACGAACTTGTTATTTAATCACACTAATATCTCGTCTGAGACTGTATCATTGTCATTTAAAAGATATACATATTGCTTCAAAGAAATTATTGAAAGCCTTTTACAGAAATCGAAATATAAAAATTGCCAATTCTTAAGTAACATTCTGTTGAGTACGCTACTGTTTAGGGCTGTTGAGTAACAATCTCAAGTAAACTATTGTAAGTATATACACTTTACAGTCTTTCTCATATGGATTCTGAACAAAATGCTTTTCAATAATTAGCTTGCACTACTTCATCTACGAAATACTACTTATATATTTATAATCATTGTCTCAGACATTAACAGCACTCCTCTCATCACTCTGGCCTTGCATCTTGACTACAACATTTAGTAAACAAATGGCTCTATAATTCGCCTTTTACAGTGTATTCCTTTATTTTTATACAATTGTTCAGCCATAAATATTTTTAAGAATATAACACATTGTATCCATCCAAGGTATTTTGAAAATATTTACCACTAATACCATTTTGCACTATTTTTTATATTAAATAATATACAATATAAAGATCATACTTACATCAATTTAAAAGGGAAAATACTACATTAATATATCAATAATAGATGTACCCCACCCACAGGAAACTTCCTCTGTCTCCCAGTCCTCCCCACCATTCCCCCCTTCCCCGTCCCCCTCGTCCTATAAACCATTTCTCACTCGCCCATCCCCTCGTCTTCCCAACCATTCCCCTCTCCCCGTCTCTTCGTCCTCCCAACCAAACCCCTTCCTCCATCTCTCGTCCTTCCCACCATCCCCCACTCCCCTGTCCCTTTGTCCTCCCCACCATTCTCCAGTCCCCTCGTCACTACCATCCTCAACTCCCCCATGCCCTCGTCCACGTCACCATTACCCCCTACGATGTCCCCTCGTCTTCCAACCATCCCCCACTCCCGTCCCCTCATACTTCCCACTATTCCTCACTCCCTCATCCGATGCATTCCCAGATGATCTGACATTTCCATAAAAAAATTGGGAACATCAAAAGATCTGATGTTCCCATCCCTGAAATATAAGAAAAACAGTTAAAAAAACGAAATGAAAAAGAACGAAAAAATAAACACGATAAACTATACTCACAAAATGAACAGTATGGTAAACAACACAGCTCAATTCCATCACAATGTCCCACAAATAATTAAATCAAAATTAAATAAATCGAAATCTATGAAAATTAAATATATCAATGAAATCTGAAACATTGAAATGGAATCGTAAAATATTTAGTACATAGTGTGTTGCTTTTACATGCAACAGTTAGTGCTGTTTTTCAAAAAAATAATGTTTTTACCTATCACAGGTGTGGCATCTATACTTATACTCACGAAATGAAAGGTACGGTAAACAACACAGCTCAATTCCAGCGCAATGTCACACAAAATAATTTAATAAAAATGAACATAAATCAAAATCTATGAAAATTCAATTTGTAAATGCAATCAGAAGCATTAAAATAAAATCGTAACATATTTAGTATAGCATGTGTTGCTCATATGTGCAACAGATGGCGCTTTTTTTTTATATTTTTCCTGTCATATGTGAGGCATATATATAAGAGATATATAAAAACACGTGCCTATTCGAATGCAAGGTTGTGTCAAAGTTTCAAAGCAATCGGTAAAGAGGTTTCAAAGATTTACATCACATGAAAAAGACCGTTTTTCAAAAAAACATGTTTTTCCCCGTCCCAGATGTGACATCTATATAGTATGCATATAAAAACCGTTCTGATGCGAATGGAACAGTGTGTGAAAATTTCAAAACAATTGGTGAAGAACTTCCAGAGATTAGTGATTTTGAATATTCGAAAATTTACATTTTTATTTATATAAATAAAAATGGAAATGTTCATTTGTGCATAACAGCTAATCTTCAAAAGTTCTTCACTGATTGCTTTGAAATTTTCACACATTCCATTCGCATCCGAGCAGGTTTTTATATACATACTATACAGATGTCACGACTGTGACAGTACAAAAACATGCTTTTTCTGAAAAACTGTGTTTTTCATGTGAGGTAAATCTTCAAAACCTCTTTACCGATTGCTTTGAAATTTTGACACAACGTTGCATTTGAATAGGCGCGTCTTTTTATACATCTACTATATACATGCCTCACCTGAAACAGGAAAAAACATGTTTCTTTTTAAACAGCGCCATCTGGTGGACATAAGAGCAACACACGCTGTAATCTCCAAAAGTTCTTCACTGATTGGTTTGAAAATTTAACACAACGTTGCATTAGAATAGGCGCGTCTTTATATACCTACTATATAGATGCCACCCCTGTGACAGGTAAAATCATGCATTTTTGCAAAACAGCGTCATTTGTTGCACATAAGACCAACACATGCAATACTAAATATGTTACGATTCCATTTCAATGTTTTCGATTTCATTGATAAAATGAATTTTCATAAATTTCGATTTATTTTAATTTTGATTCAGTTATTTTGTGTGACATTGCCTTGAAACTGAACTGTGTTGTTTACCATACCGTTTATTTTGTGGTTATAGTTTATTTTTTTATTTTTTCATTATTTTTAATTTTTTGTTTAATGTTTTTCTTATATTTCTTTGATGGGAACCTCTGGGGCCAGATTCACGAAGCAGTTATGCAAGTACTTACGAACGTGTACATCGTTCTTCAATCTTTGATGGCTTTGATTACATTTTTAAACAGTTTACAAGCATGAAAACTTGCCAATCAACTGTTGTTATTGTTATAATCAGCCTCCTGGTGCTTCGGAGCTCATGGACAAGGAAGGCGGTTCTGGTTTGTAAGTGTTTGCATAACTTCTTCGTGAATCTATCCCCAGATCATTTGATGTTCCCAATTTTCTGATGGGAACATCAGATCATTTGATCATCAGACAAGGGAGTGGAAAATGGTAGGGAAGGACGAGGGGACCGGGGAGTGGCGGATAGTGGGGAGGATGAGAGGGCGGGGGAAGGGGAAATAGTAGGGAGGACGGAGGAATGGGAGATAGTGGGGAGGACGAGGGGATGGTGGAGTGGGGAATGGTTAGGAGAAAGAGAGGATGCTGGAGTGGAGGATGAAGGGGAGGAAAAAGGGATCAGGGAGTGGACAATGGTTGGGAGGACGAGGGGATAAGGGAATGAGGAATAGTTGGAAGGACGAAGTGACAGGGGAGAAGAGGAATAATGGGGGAGGACAGGAGACAGGGTAGGGTTGCTGTGGCTCAGCAACACACATGCATTGCTGAGCCACAGCAACCCGTGGCCGGGTACAGCTAGTAGATAAATAAAAATTTTAAATGTTCGTTTGTTCAAACTCGCTAATCGAAATTTCTTCACCTATATTAATATAGATAAATCAAAATATATTTTTATCTATATAAATAATAATTGAAATGTTCGTTTGTGCATAACCGCTAATCTCCGAAAGTTCTTCACCAATTGCTTTGAAATTTTCACACAACGTTCCATTCTCATCCGGCCAGCTTTTTATATACATACTATATAGATGTCACGTCTGTGACGGTAAAATAACATGCTTTTTCTAAAAAAAATAATTTTTTATGTGAGGAAAATCTTCGAACCGCTTTACTGATTGCTTTTAAATTTTGACACAACGTTGCATTATAATAGGCACTTCTTTTTATATATCTATTATATACATGCCTCACCTGTGACAGGATAAAAAAATGCTTTTTTTTATAAACAGTGCCATCTGTTGGACGTAAGAGCAACACACGCTGTAAGTAAGTAAGTAATTATCAAAAGAAGGCACCAAACCGGGAAGGCTATGTAGCACCATCAAATACGCAAAATAATCAGAGGGCGCTAAAGATCACCAAGGATGCCAATACGAGAACAAAAACGCATAAGGCGAACGATATCAAAAGTATCCGAGTCACCAAGAATTCTATCGAGGGACAGGTGACCGCGAGGGGCGGTCGGAAAGCAAGACACACGCTCGTCCTGGAAGTCAGGACATTCAAGAAGGACATGCACGACCGTAAGAGGGACAATGCAACTAGGACAATAAGGAGCAGGGCGGCGCTCCATCAAGTGACCATGGGTTAAGCGAGTATGGCCAAGACGCAACCTCGCTAGAGCTGTTTCCCACCGCCGGTTACGGTGGAAGGAGGACGGCCACGAGGAAACACAACATTTAAGAGTACGTAGCTTGTTACCAGTAACAGACAACCAAGAAGCCTGCCAACGGGTAAGGACTGAGGAATGGATAACCGGGTAAAAGTCGGAATACGGAATGCCTTTACGAGAGATGGGACAAGAGCGGACAGCTTCCTTAGCGGCAGCATCCGCACGCTCATTTAAAGACACGCCAATATGGCTGGGAACCCAACAAAACTCAACCGACTTAAATTTACTGTGAACGAGAAACAGCCAATGCTGGATCTCGACAACTACCGGATGAACTGGATTAAAGCACCCGAGAGCCATGAGGGCACTACGAGAGTCAACAACAACCACAAAGGAAGACTGACAACGAGAAAGCAGGAGACGAAGAGCATGGAGAATAGCATAAAGTTCCGCTGTAAAGATGCTAGTCTCC